AAATGTCCTAACACCAGTCCCACCCTCCAAATTAAAGCCTCCCACTCTTGTACATGTTGCCTTTTCACAGCTGGGACTTTCCAGTTTAAATTATTGCCAAATTGCTGATGTTTCACAATTTACTACAAATCGAATCGAAATCGACTCTTACAGGGAAATTAATCTGCAGCCAGGCTTTTACATTTATCATCATCACCGCTCACACACACACACAGATGGTTTGTGTAGATACTGAGTGTAAGACGACTGGAGACGGACAGTCGACCCCCCCACAGGTCATCTGACCCCAGATACAGAACGTCGTCCTCCCGGCTTCCTGCTTCCTAATAAAAGCTGCACAGAGCCGACGTACAAACAAACAGTTCATCAATATGTCAGTGTTCGCAGTGTGATCTGCTTTAGATCTGGCCGACGCTGCCTGTGGAGAACACGGAGCTCAAAACGTGCTGCCTCATGAATTGATGCACGTTAGAAGATATATAATGTGGCTGAAATCATTACACCAATATCAAATTAACTACTTTATTCACCAACAACAACAAAATTGTGTTCTACTATCGTGAGTCATGTTTTGTTAGACATCATTCACTTGGACGACAGAAACAGTAACACAGTTGTCATGACATCACGATAATATTGAATATCATAGTTTAAACAGGTTTCATTTGATCCACGTAAAGTTCTTCAAACTGCCTTTAAATTACTGCTGGTTTTATAAAATATCTAGTTTAACTTGGCGATTAGAGAAAAAAAACCTCAATGTGAATATGATGATCAAAGACTTAAAGGCAATAAAAAATACAAGAACAACTGTAAAGTGGCTTGAGATAATATATATTTAGCTATGATTTGACTCTATATCAATAAAGCTGGACTGAGCTGAACTGAAAAACGTTCTGAGGTTTGATGCTCCAGATATTCAGAGAGCGGTTCACTAGAAACTACAGCTGCCCGAAAAATAAAAACTATTACTTTTTCCCCCTCCACACTTAATTTCACTTCCTCTAATTCCTGAATGTTGGTTTTGGAAAATATTGTTCCAATAAGAAGATATGAAAGCTTAAAAGAGAAGAAAGTCTCAGACGTCTCATCACTGTAACACTACCTGATCCCAACAGCTGATATTCATCAGCCTGAAAAGTGAGTTTACTGAAGCGACGCTTTATCTCTTCTGTGCATCACCAAAACAAGTTTGAAAAACCTGCATGAGAGAGACGAACAGCCACTCATGGAAAGCGACGACTGTAGCGAGATTTATTACGTCATATTTGACTGGAAGAGAAAAAAAAGAAAAACAGAAATCCAGTAAATACGAAATGTTGCCTTCACCTCCGGCTGGCTGCGGTGGTTTTGGCTGGTTCGGCTGCCTCGTGTCACCACATCACATACACATCCATTCAATGCACACACACACACACACGCACTATTATAAGTCAGTCCTACAGCCGGTCAGCCCAGCAGGTGGTTACTGTAGAAGTACTTTTGGTTTACTGGCACTTAACGAGTAGTTACCCAGACTGCACTTTAATGACCTGCAGTATTAACAGTGTTTACATCATGAGCTCAACTCACACACCACAAAGATTCAAAAACAAAGAGACACTGTTCAAACTACAATCTTCTTAAGCATGAAAGTAAAAAGCTTCAACTCAAGATCCTCTTACTGGCTTTTACCTCCAGCTCCTGTGTCTGCTCATCCCTCCCTGCGACTGATAAAACAACGTCGATACAGTTTAAACCGAGACAGATACTGACTGTAAATGTCATTGTGTCCATCTCCAACTGAGAGAAGGTTACTGATGAAGGTCATGTGAGACAGCTAAAAGCTCTGTAAAAAAAAGCTGGTAAATAAGAGTTTGAGTTGAGACGGTCAAACTAGATTCATGAAGTGTGAAAACAGAGGAATTAAAAGTGAAGAATAAAGCAACACAACACAATCATCTCGTCTCCTTTTCACTCAAGCTGAGTTAAACTGAAGCAAAGTACAATACAGCTGAGGAGGAGGAGGAGGAGGAGGGAGGAGGAGGAGGAGAGTGCTGACAGAATATCAGCAATAAAACTACACAGCAATTCATTCAAACATGTGTGTGTGTGTGTGTGTGTGTGTGTGTGTGTGTGTGTGTGTGTGTGTGTGTGTGTGTGTGTGTGTGTGTGTGTGTGTGTGTGAGAAAGTGTTGATGTACGCCACGAGGGGGAAGAAGAAAATATGTCTGTAGAGAGATGAAGCCAGAACATTTCGAACCCTCAGGACACGGGTCGGGGGAAGAACTCACTTTTCCCAAACGTTCAATGTCCCAGGAAATAATGTTTTTGGATCTTGATGTTAAAAAAAAAAAAAAGAAAAGAAAGGGTGTTGCACAGAATCTCTTAAAACAGTTTCCTTAAGTTCAGTAATTTACAGCGGTAAACAAGATGATTGACAGCGATAAAGTTCTACTGTTTCCATGGAGACCACTTGTTTAGCTTGTGTTACCTGCCGTTGCGAAGTGAAGAATCAAGTTCCTCGTGGTTAAGGGTGTCCACTGGCTTCTCCCACTTTATTTTTTTTTTTGGGATGATTTAATTTTCTTGATTCATCACCATCATGTTGCAGCATGTTGCAGTTTGGCTGCTAAGGTCTTTTGTGCAACGGTTTAACTGACTTTAAGTGATTTCTTAAGTATAAGACCAAGATAAGGAGAAAAACATAAATATGTACGTGAATATTTAAAAGGAGAAGACTTGAGGAAACCTTATATGAACTCAGACTTTAAGGGACATCTTCACTTCAGGTGTTTTGTGCAGCTGGCCTCAGACAGATTAGACGTGTGCAGGATTTGTTTGGCCTCAGCAGAGGTATGTGCTCTTCTCACATTGATTATTTCACCCTGTATCCAGCGCACACCGTCTGCCCGGGTCTGTATTTCAACATGTTTCCAAGTCGGGAATATTACAAGAAAGTATCGAACTTCACCAGCCGAACCCGACACCGCAGCGACCCAGCAGCAAGTCTCCAAACGGCACTTCAGATTTACAGGACGATAGCTACACCTCACTGAGCTCCATGAGAAAAGCACTTTCAGACGTTCAGGGAGACGAAGAAACAACAACACTGACTGAGGATGTCATGCCAGCTGATTTCCTCTTTAATAAAAGCTGCAGCTTCAGGCGGTTTATCAGTCTGAACACTCAAGACTTTCCCAGACACAAGACGACAAATGAGCAGCTCTCAGTGGAGCAGGACCGATCCAGGTGGAGAACAATGCTGTTTACAAGATACTTCTGCTTGAAACGGAGCTTAATAGTATTTCCTGCGGGTTTGTTAGAAAACCTGGGGCACAGATTAGTTTTTACAGCCTGCCTTACACAGGGCACTCCACAATAATTAACTGACAGATCCAGGAGGAGCGAGGAGGAGGGGGAGGGGGGGTGGTGGAGGAAGTGCACTGTTTGGTATCATTAGGAACTCATTACGGCTGCACACACTGGACAACCACGCCGAGAGAGGAGGAGGAGGAGGAGGAGGAGGAGGAGGAGGAGAGGAGCGGCGGGACGTAGTGGACTGTTAAGATTTAATGACGGCTTATGGACCGCCGGCACAAACAAACAGAACGTCCCTGCGTTTGTGCATTCAGCGCGTCCGGCCTCGCTGCTGACTAAACGAAAGACTTCTGTTTCCACTGGGTGTAGATAAATAGAGGCAGGCATTGTGTTGTGGGATCGCGCCAAAGCTGGCCCCACTGTCACAAAGCGCTCTCTGTGGGTTTCACGGGAACAGTTGTTGGCTTGGGGATGAGCCAGTGCCCCCCCTACCCCCACCTCACCCCCACACCCCACTCTTCAGCCAGGAGGGTCTCGCACCAGAATGCAGAGTCTTGGACTCGATGTTCTGGGAACACGACGGCTTCGGCCTCAGCCAAACCTTTTCATACCGAACCTCAGAGCTCTGTGGGCCTCAGGATAAAGCAGGGGCAGCTCAGGGAGAGGACGAGGATTTCAAGTTGGCATCAGCACATGAATCACTGATTACCAGCATGTTCATGTCGGGGGTGGCATCATGGAGCAGCAGTATTAGAGGCCACAGTGCTTCAGCTCCTGTTCATATATAATCTCAGTGTCGTTAGCTTGTAGCTCAGTAAGACTGAACGTTTCTCCCTCTAACACTTAGTATATGATTACGCTGTTTTTAAGTCATGTGAATTTGTATCAGGGGTGTATGGGAAATGTATTTTGTTTGTTTTTTTGGGGCGTTTAAAGTTAAAGTTGAACTGAACTGAGAATGTTGATAAATGTGCTTGTTTTTCCAGCAATAAACTCATGATTTACAATAAAAGTTAAAGGTTTAATCTCTCAAAGGGTTTTGTTTTCTTCCATGTTCCTCTCTGCTTCAGAGGAGGAGTAATAAAGCTTTTAGAGAATATCAAGTTTTTCAGAAAACCCTCAGGTTTTAGGAGGTTGTTTTCAAACAGCGCTGAGGTCTTAGAGGCCGTCACACAACTCTCATGGCAAACCCTCCTCCTCCTCCTCCTCCTCCTCCTCTCCTCCTCTCCTCCTCTCCGGTCCTCCATCACTGTGAGACAGGTATCATACCAAAACATGCCCCCCGAGGCAGACGCAAAACAAAACACGGCTGAACATCTGAACAACTACTTCTGCAGCTGCTCCTCTTGAGCTTCGTGTGGGAGCGACGCCAGCAGCCCTGCAGGTTCCTGCTCACTCACCCAGAATACAAGCTGGGCTGGTCGCGGCGGCGTCAGGAGGGACACACCCAGAGCAGGTACGGGACATGACTCAACATCATGAATGTGCATTATTTTTAATTATAACCCACAGCAAGCAGCAGATCTAAAAAGGGGTTTACAGCGTGTTTGATGTCGGCTTGTATTCTCATTAAGTTCAATGCCCCTGGAGGGATGCGGTTTCATAACAGCTGTAGATCAAACGGCAACATCTTAACATCACCCTGACGGCAGGACTCGAATACACAATAAAGCAGACGACCTGTGACGTGATCTCCCTACCTGAGCAGAGGATGCCTTTGTGCCGGGCGCAGGAGAAGTCGTCGCACTCGCAGAAGCTGCCGTAGATCTTCCCGAACTCCGATTCGTAGCACAGACACTGGTTGCAGCTGCACTCTCCCCGCCCGCTGCAGATCTGCTTGCCCTCGGCCTCCCGGCAGGCGCTGAGGTACATGCTGCTGGCCTCGCCCTCCTGACACTCGCAGCGGGCGCCCAGGTAGCCCGGCTCGCAGTGACACGTGCCGCAGTGATAGGTACCTGCAGGGACAAAAGGGTTAACGCTACGGATTTACATGCGGGACTTTCACGTCCTCGTGCACCTCTGAATTTATCCTGCAGGATTACTCCTTAAAAAATTCAGTGTCTAGCAACTACGATCATTTCAATCCTTTTAGAGAATTCAAGTTTTAAAAATGTGGTTTAAGTATAATTTTCGTTTTATTACCGTCATAAACTCGACAACAACCAAAAGCAGCTAATTCAGAGGTTTAAAAAATACCAGGTCTGACATCACTGACTGAGGCGTCCAACTACCGTCACAGTTTGACCCCACAGGAAGCAGTTTTACTGTCCTACGTGATTCACACCACTTTGCTGCTGCTGGCTTTTACAAACTTTCATCCAAAAAAAAAAACCAGGAGAGTTGTTCAGAGTTTGAACTGAATCTCACAAGGATTTTATGTCCTCGTGTTTTTAAGAGATACTGTGGTTACAGCTGCAAGAACTTTCCAACAACTGTCCATTAACAGAGTGAGGAAAGAAAAAGGTGGAAAATCACGATCGACTTTTAACTACAAATTTCTAAAATCTGATTTTCTCCCAGGTTCAAATATTGGAAATGTCATGATCTCAGATTTTCACTATACGCTATTAAAAGAATTCACAGTAACAATATTATCATGATATTTATAGGAAATTTGAATTAACACGTAAATAAATAAATATATGTTAATAAGTCAAATTCATCTTTAACTTTGTTTATTGTGTTTTGTCTCTTTTTTTTGGCAAATGAATGAGAGTCTGCTACGAGCGTAGGGAGGCGGAGCCTAACATCTGCCATCATGATATTATCACATGTGTATTATTAACATAATATCAATATTTCACTCCTAACCCTAATCTATAAATCACTCACGGTGATTTTCTGGGATTATTTGAGCGGAAAAATAAAGACGGAAATGTATGACACAGTGCCAAAGGGTTGGTCTGATCTGGGTTTGTATTGTTATTATTTATCTGATAGTAGATCCATATAAAAATATATATTATAAATAAGAAATACGCGTTGCTGGCAGAACTACCTATGGAGCTGCAGATGCTGCTGTTGGTCTGCGCCGTCCGGCTGCAGCCGCAGTCACACTGATAATCCACCGCCACCTCCAGACGGTCTTTGAACCCCACCGGCTTGATGGTGAAGCTCTGGTCGGCGCCGCGGGGGGGGCAGCTCCGCGCCTCCACGCTCACGTTGAACGAAACCTGCGCAAGAAAAAGACAGAAGTTGTGCAACTTTAGAGAAAATGAACAACTTCCTGTTTCCTCTTCCCGCCTGTTCGTTGGGAAGAGTTCACGTCAGGTTCAGATGATCTCACCCTCAAGATGAGTTTTAAACAGTAGCAGCATCAGACGGACTTTGAACCACAATATCTCCTCTGGTCTTTGGTTTCCGTGTTTCTCAGTGACCCGATCCCACCCTATATCTTTTCATTTAAGCCAAACACAACACCACCCTGTAAATACTTGGCAGCTGCCAGCTAGTCTGTGGGCGTGAACTGCACATGACCCCGGGTTGGGAAAGTGGGGCATGACATAAGACCAACACCCATATGATTGCTCTGAGGAAGGAAGTTGCTCTCTCTATTTTCCTGCTCCATGTTCCTCATATTAACGCTGTTTGTTCAATGGACAGATTGTGGGTTTTTTTTTTTTTTTCCCTCTCATGTTGCCTTGACGACAACATAGGAAATTATGCTGCTGGGCTCTGCACTGAGGTTAAAAAGCCAGATTTCAACTTTAATTTGAGTGTGTTTATATCCATGTCAGATACACCACTTCTACACACACACACACACACACACACACACACACACACACACACCCTCTGGATTCTTAGATCGAAAGACAGTGAGCTTGAATATTCTCATCTTTTCTGGTTCAGAGATCAAAACTGTTAAGAGAGGGGAGGCGATCCTCTCTCTGCTTTGAAGATCTGACTGGAAGCACTTGACCCTCAGAAGACAAACTTCAGTCTTAATCCAAAAGCAAACATTCCTCCCTCGCGGCACCTGCTGTTATTGGCAAGAACATCTGTGTGTTTGGATCTGGATCCTCTCAAGTCAAGAGCAACACCCCTAGTCACCTGCGATCTCCTTGAATTAAGGACCAAATATGTCATAACTTGTGCAAGGCTTGTCTCAGTCCAGCCGACTCTTGGCAGCAAAAGTGTCGGGTATTAACCGCACTGTTACAGGCTCTGTAAACTGACTAACTTGCACAGACTATAACAGAGGAACAGAAAGTTAGACGGGGTAAATAAACCTTTGACCTGTTGTCAATCAGCTTGTGGTTACAAATGGATTTTTCCAGGTGGTAAACTTGGAAATCTTTATGAAAGCACCATTAGTTTTGGTCTAATGGGGTCTGAAAGTGTTCACCATGCTACGACCCAACCCTACTCTTTGTCCCATCCTGACTGAACCTCATTGATTACCTGCATTAGTAAATCATCAGTGACGGAAATGCAGCTGCTCTTACGCAACTCCAGCAGCAGAACTCGCATCTCCCAATCCCAAACGGTCTTCAGTGGCTCCGGACCCCGGACATATTCATGAACTTTGAATTCCTTACTCTTGAAATGTCTGTAGAGCCTACTGTCTGTCCTCTAGTCAAACTCAAAACCAAGGGAGCCCAACTTCAACATTTGTGGCCCAAAAAAAACAGCTGTCAGGACTTCTGGAACTTTGTGATGTCACAACAAAGCAGTCACCAAGCCCCGCCCACCTGGACCCACCATCCAAACCTTGCAGGATTTGGTTTCTCTGAGTGTTTTACCTGAAATTTGATATATTTTTATTGGATCACTCAGAAAACAGTCAGCCAATCAGAAGAGAGGCTCAGAGCCTCCTCTCTTCTGATTGGCTCACCGACCTGTTGTTGCTAGAGCTCCAAAGAGAAGCCTGAGAGAGGAGATGTGAAACTACACACTCAAAATAAAACACAGGAAACGTGTAAAATACGGAACCTTTAAACGTAGCATTAAGTGGGGCATTTGTTTTCATCACATACAACACAAGCTGATTCAGGCTACAGGAAGTGTCTACATCACATGTCACCCGGACCCCCCCCCCTCCCTCCACTTCAGCGCGGGAAACAAGTTAAGAAAAGGACAGAATTAAATTTACTGTAAATGTGAGTCGCGAGGAGGCCGGCTCACCCAATCATGTGGCCAAGTTAAGACAACTATGAGGTCGTGGAGAAACAGAAGGGGGGGCGATTCATAGTAGAGGACACTGGGGGGGGGGGTAATGAGATTAAAGTCTGAGAAAATGCCTCAACACACAAATGTAATTCCCAGAGATGTAGGGAATCAGATCAGGGAGGGATGAGAGGCAGACACTATGGTATGTACTATGGTGTGATGTAAGAGGTGACATATGCAGGCAACACTAGAGGCTGTGTTGCCATGGAGAAATCATTTTGGATGATGGAATTCTTATGACCCACTGAAATTCAATTAACTGGGACAAAACCCATTGAGAAAGTCAAAGAAAACAGCACATAACCGAATTCAAATGCTTCTGGTTTGTTTTAAAAAAACCCTCCTGTGGAATGTTTTATTCATATGCATGAGTCTATTCAGTGATCATACACTTCTGGGAGTGTTACAGTGAAAAAGGATGCTGGTTTTAACTATATAAACTCCAGCTAGCATTTCTGCTCCTGCCAGTTTGTTCCTTTCATGGCTCGCGGTCTCACCCCCCACCCCCCACCCCCACCCCTCCTCCAGCCCACTTTTGTGTGAGGTCATTGAGATGCAGCATCAGGCTCGACGGGCTCGAAGCTCCCACAGACACAGTGACTGACACCTGGGCCGCGGACTGAGCCGTCTCCTAAGTGAAAAGACCGGGAAGCTTGGCACCCGACGGACCGAGCTGCTGTCCTCCACCTCCTTTCACTGCTGAGGATAAAAGACATGAGCCCCCCCACCCACCTCCTCCCTCCCTATTCATTTGCTGTTCTTATTCTGCCTCACCTCCTCCACCACACATTCCCATCCCAGGAGGATAAAGCAGCGGAGAGAAGAGCGTGAAGGGGGTTCAGGGAGAGAAGAATCCCCCTGTGCTGAAGCTCACTGTGCCACAGCATGTATGAAGCTGCCCCTTGCTAGCATTTTCTTTCAGGGCTCGATACGAATTTTAATTGAGGCCTGTGTCAAATAGAGGGACCACCAGAGAGAAGTCAAAGCATCCTCTGCCACCTGATTGTTCAGCGACATCACCCCAACTGTGGTGAATCCAGCCGATGCTAACAGACATGCAAAAATCAAACATTTATTCTCATGTACAAGATGTCCTCCTCCTGCTCCTGTCCCCCCCCTGAATGTAAAATACTGAGGCAGAAAAAACCAGGGGCATGAATCACAAGCAAGTTCAGCTCAGTCTGGCGCTCTCTGGACCAACTATCATCAGGCTGGTTATGAACTGGCTCGGTTAACTCAAGGGTTTCCAGTCCAGATATGAGACTAAGTGTTCACATGACAAGGATGGAGTCGTTGGTTACAAGCCAATCATGTGCAACATCAACAGATCAAGAGCGGAGTAACAGCATTCTTCTTCTGTGTTTTATTTTGAAGCGTTGATCCATAAGAATATATATTTGTGGTTTTAAGAATCAGAAATCATCTCAGTGTAGTTTCACATCTCCTCTCTCAGGCTTCTCTCTGGAGCTCTAGCAACAACAGGTCGGTGAGCCAATCAGAAGAGAGGAGGCTCTGAGCCTCTCTTCTGATTGGCTGATGGTTTACTGAGTGATTGAATAGAAATACAACAGATTTGCAGGTGAAACACTCAGAGAAAGCAAATCCTGCAAGGTTTGGATGGTGGGTCCAGGTGGGCGGGGCTTGGTGACTGCTTTGTTGTGACATCACAAAGTTCCAGAAGTCCTGACGGCTGGTTTTAAGGCTCAGTTTCTGAATACAGGCTGTGTGCATTTCTCTGTGGACTGAGGCTTTGATACTTTCACAGTATTAATATAGAAGCTAGAGCTGATCTATAATCACACTACACATGGACACAGACCTTTACACTGGAGCAGCTTTAAGTTATTGTGGCAGCAGAAAGGTGAAATAAATACGATGAAATCACACAACTGGAACAGAAAAATATAAAAAACATATACTGTAATTGCAGGAATCAGTCATCTGTCTCAGTTCAAAATGTACCAGCTTGTGATACAGATCTCTGGTCTCTTAAATTTAGAGTCTTACTGCCTATTCTCACTTCCTCTCTGGCCAGCAGTTAAACTCAAAACCAGCACAACCACAACCACAAACTGGGAGACTGAAGCTGGACTTAAGGAGAAAACCAGGGCAGAGGACAAACTCCTGCGACACCTCTAAGGACACGTTCAGACAGAAAATAAAACTGAGTTTAAAAAATGCACAGGGTATGTGTTAATGTGGGCATGTTGCTACAGATACTGATGTGAATATCCAGAAAGTCCAGTTTGAGCAACAGATCTATGAGCTGGAAGGTTTATCAGAGACCTAATCGCTGCACATCAGTGACACTTTGAGACAGGTGTGGTAACCGACCGGATCCGAGGCAAAAGTTCAGCCAGGTTCAAGGTTTGTTTTGGTTTTTTTTGTTTTTTTTTGTTGCAGTGCTGTTGTTGGTCTGAACGCAGCCTCAGCACTCAGTGTTTCCCACAGCTGTGTCTGTGTCCACTGCTGATTGAATCCAGCTGAGAGGCAAAAGAGCAAAGGCTCCCTGAGGAATGAACAGAGTCTGCCAAGAGAGCTGTTGATGATAATTGGGTCTTTCCTTTTTTTTTTTTTTTTTTTTTTTTTTTATTTAAGATATAGAAGCTAAAATACAATTTACAAATCAGTTAAAGCCGTTAAAACAAGAGGAGATGAACACCTACAGGATGAAATAAGAGAGCTGGTTCAGGTAGAGAGAGAGAGAGCCGAGGTAAATGTCACACAGTCAGAGACTCAGCCAGTCACGGTGACTTTCGTTACTGCGGCTACTTTTCTTCACACATGTCTCCCTGGCGACAGCGAAAAGCAACACAACCCCCCCCCCCTTATCTCAGTTTAACTCTCTGTAAGAGGATTCCAGGGTCACAAGGCGTCTGCTGAAGATCGCCAAGTCACAACTGACTTTCTTTAATCACCGGCTGAGATTATGAATATCACTTTCAGCAGGGCGGAGAGATTAAGGCGGGACGATACGACCTAAAATCAGTGTTGGAGCGAACTTCCACATTTACTCTTGTAGCAATTGATTATTTTTAATCACGTCAGTGGTGCTGCCCGCATCTGATTACAGGAAAGATTCTGGTCCTCTGGCCTGGACTCTGATTGGACGGCTGAACATCTGATTAGACATTATTGGGTATTGTAGCTATTCTCAGTTTACATATATATTATATAGGACGAAAGATATGAGGTCGTGCATTGTTTTAGAAACTGTGATTATTAGAAAATTTAAGCTGATAGGAGAAACATTTGGTGCATCTCCAGGCCACAGAGGGAATAAAGCTTTCTAAAGCACAACTAAATATTCCTCTCTCTAATCAATTAAAAGGTCTTATCAATGCTAATCAATACCCGATCGACATCTGCAGCCTCCACCAAGCAGAAAGACATGCTTCCATGCAGTTAAAGGTCAGTGCAGCCTCTACATCTTATTCTGCACATTAAAGAAATCACACACACACATTTATTTCACATAATCTGCTGTAACCAGGTGGAAAACGATCCTGTAGCTCCACATGTGAATGTTTGCAGCGACAGGACTAACCTTAAAGAACGAATGTGTACTAAAGTAAATTCCAACTGCTGGAATCTGCCTTTCAAATGGAGGTTTTCCACCCTTAAACTGTTTCCATGTGCCCTCAGTTTTCAGACTCAGCTGCCATGAACGTGTTGCAAAAGTCATCTGAGCTCTGGCAGAACAAGCCAGGGACTTTTTATCCTGTGTCTCGGGTGTAAATCCAAAAATACAAACTCCATCGCACTGGTGCTGAGGTTTGTTGTAAAAACACCATAACAGAGGGACGTCTATGTATCTTTATGCACTGACATTACTACAATAAATCAGCTAATAGGTTCATTTAGTTAGTAGTTACAGATCCTGAAGGTGAGATGAGATCACCAAAAAACTCAAATGAAAACATTCAGAATGAAATAAAAGATTTATAATGTGCTGTGAGTTGGAGAGGGAAGGGAGGACTCACCGTGTCTCCTATCTTTAGGTCGGCACACTTCCTGAGGCCTGGCAGCGGTTTCCCATCCTGGCAGGTGGCGGTGAAGGAAAGGCTGATGTCCTCTGGGTGGTCCCACACTGTCAGCTCCACTTTAGAGCGGATGTTCTGCGGAGAACGAACCAGTTTCACTCATACGTGTTTGGTAAATCAGGGGTTTGAAACAGATTACGTTCCTTGCATGGTAAAATAAATCCTCTCTGCAACAGTGCAGAGAGGATTTCTAGCAGCTGCCATTGTGCACACAAACACTTTCCAATGTCCTGAAACTACAGCCACATTAAAATGAAGCCTCCCACACAGACGCTTTTATTAAAACCACCTCACTGTACCTTTTCGTGCCTGTAACTCCGGTTGAGTTACACAGTGGAAAAGAGTGAAACACAGGGAGTGCACGGCCCCGGTAAGGCACATTTTTATAGCTCATCGCGCCACAACCACAAGCGCTACGCATGGATGCAGGTCGTACGTGTGTGGATGTGAAACACCATCTGCATCTGGCTCTGTGCAACATGTGCAGAACCGGGCCGCAGTCATTCATGCACATTTACTGCGATGTGACTGTGCCGAGGATAAATCAGGACGGTAGTTGGTGCACACGGGGACGGTACGCCACCGACGACGCCGCGATTCGCACGTCTGTGCTCACACATGACTGCACTTTTTCTGACCGCGTCTTTGTGCCGCAGTCAAACCTGAGGAAAAATGTGTTGGTTACACAACACAACCTCACGGCGCTTGGCAAAGCCTATCTAGCTAACAGCCCTCAGAGCGGTGGATATAATGTGGCAGCTGGAATGTTAATAAGGCCGTGAGTCAAAGCACTTCATTCAGGCTCACTCCCACACACTGAGCATTTCAAGTCCGCGTTTGACACAAGTATTCTGTCACACAGGGCACGCCGCCGCTGACGCCGCCGCCGCCCCAAACGAGATGCAACTCCTCTACTCCAGACTGAGGCGAGGAAATATCTGCACGCCCACACAGGAAAACATTTTAGGGAAAGGTTGACTACACGGAGCGCAGCGCTTTGGATTCAGAGAGCTCAGGAAAAACAAACAAGACGGACAATCAAGATGAATATCAGGCCTCAGGTTATGGGCCTGACTCTAGAGAATAGTGTGGTGGTTTACTTTGCCGTGACTCACCGCTCATTATAATAGTGCATGTGCCTGTTTCAAACACCTCTTTAAAAGCAGTCACCTGTTGACTTAAAGAACACATGGACATCCACCTTTATACAATATGGACCTGGACCAGCGGTACAACTCCTACCAAGGACCTGAGCGTACTGACCGATGTGTAGCTGTGCAGCACGTGGTTCTCCTTAATCATTTTGTAAAGCCTCAGATTTATCTTTTGCGACCCCTTGTGAAGACCCAGACCTTAGGTTGAAAACCACTGCTTTATTCTATTAAATGTTCTGTAAATATAGTTAAAAGTGATTCTTAAAAAACAATTTCTGAGAGCCGAAGGCGAAAATCTTCTAAATACTTTGTTCTGTCTGGCCAACAACTAAAAAAACCCAAAGATTAGCTTCCAACAAATCCTCCCACGTTTGAGAAGCTGAGCCAGAACAACGCCGGACATCTTGGCATCAGCGTCTCAAATCCCCACGGTCGCCACAAAAACCTCTGGGGATGCTACTTTTAGCCGCTATGCCCCCAAAAATATGGAGCTCTGTGCTGTTAAATATCAGACTCTCTGTCTCAGGGGAAAGTTTTCAACAGAGCTTATAACTAACAGATGTCTGTCTTGATTTATGTAAACATTATTTTATTTCATAAGTGCTATTTTAGAGTAACATTGACTGTGTTAATGCTATTTACAAGCACCTCAGGGACCTTAAGGACCTCATCTTTGCTCGATATCTGACTTACATGATTACTCAATCAAATGGTTGTCAATCTGTCAATCAACTAACAGATGAATTTATTAATAATCTCTATTCCTACGAAACAAATAAAACAATAATTTGTATTATATAGGCAGCTGTTAAAACTTCAACACACCAGCCTTGAACCAAAATGAGAAGCTTGTGTGTGACCGCCCGGATCAGCTGGAGGCCCGTTAACTGTGTCACAGCGGTGGGAAGACTTTAAAGAATGTTCCCTCCGTTTCCCCCTCCCCCCATTTCTCTTTCTCTTTCTTCTTTTCTTTCCTTTTTTTTTAATCTTATCTCTCTCCTCAAATCCCTCTGTGTCATTCCTTAATTCCCTGACAGCACACAAACAGGAAATCCCACACACTCTGTACTTACATTGTAGGCGTTGATGATGAGCTGAATCACGTTCTTGGAGTCCTGATCCAGGATTTCCACTGTCGTCCCAGGTATGAGTGCAGTGAAGTTCTTTGTACAGGAGCAAATACAGGACAGAATGAGCTCCTTAAATATGAAAAGGGACACGAAAGGTCTGTAACTTATAGAGACAACAAGGGGAGTTTAAAGTACCTTATAAATGACGTAAAGGCGTTTTGTGACGGCGAAGATGAGAAAGATGTTATTTTCTGCCAGTTT